TATATCTTTGTTTTTCTTTTAAAAATTTATCCAATTTTCTTCTTTATGTTGGTTTTCAAATTCATTTTTTGAATACAGAAGAAATAAAAATCCATTTTAACAATTATATTACAACAATTATTGTGACAAAAATAATAATAACTATTATGATTGGTTTTTTAGATTGGTTTTTTAGACTTGATTTAGATCCATTTATCTAGAGTGCACACTCCTAACCATTTGTAGAAACTTAGCGCGGGTGAACCAATCAAGTTCTTACTAAATGATAACGAATTGTTATTATTATTTTGACCAAATATACATGTCATGTTCTTACAGACACTGATACCATATACTATACGGTATAATTTATACCATTGATTAAACATTCGAAATTGGTGTGTGTAGGAATGAAGGTGGAGTGGCCAGAGCTAAGAGGTGTGAGTGCAATTGAAGCAAAGAAACAGATAGAAAGTGATAATCCTAATGTTACTGCCTTTATATACCCTCAAGGTGTTGTGTACTTACCAGCCATTAATTGTTGCAACCGTGTCGTTCTCTATGTTCCAAGCGACAATTACCCCAACGGTCCTGTCATCAATCTTCCTATGGTTGGATGATCTACTATGTTGTTGTTGTTGGTCTTCCTTTTTTCATAACTCATTTTCATGTTAAGCATCAATAGTTTTTGAACTATTTCTTTGTTTTCAACTATTATCATGTATAAATGGAAAGACGAGAGACATTTCTACTATATAATCTTGGATCATCAAGTTTACATATCAATTTTATCGGATTTCGAATTATCATAGCAATATTATGTTATATAATCATATACCTATGGACTTTATGATACATTTGGAAGGCACTGAATGAAAAATGTTTTAACGGGATTGATTATTCATTACCACCATATTAGATAAAAACATTTACTCAAAAGAGTGTGAAGCTTTGTTTGAATAAACTCTTATCATATTTTTTCGATGAATGTATTTGAAATAATTAGATCGTGACATAATAATATAATGATAAGAATCATATTTTTATATGTAAATTTGATGGCTCGTGTTCAAGGGAGAGTATGACCAGCAATGTGAGTTAGTTTTTGGAGATTTAAGATGGTACAACCAATTTATTAGGATTTTAAAGAGTTCGAAGAAGTTTGTTTGTGGTACATTCTACATTTTTCGTAATTTATTAGACTCAACAAATGTTTTTTTCTAGTCTGAAATATTGGCTTGTCTTTTACGACTTAACTATCTGATCTAGAGAGATTTTGAAGAAACCTAATTCTGTTTCCTATCAAAGTATGATCAACAATAATGTCATTGAAAAAAAGAAAAAAATCAATAATCAAAAATTGATGTTCTGGGCTCGTAACGTCAAAATGTAAAAAGCCCAATGGGCTTCTTAGTTACTCAATAGCAAGCCTTCTCCGTGGCTCCATTAATAGTCTTCGTTCCTTTGGTCAATCTTCTTCCTTCTGTAGAAAAGTACAGACTCTGTCACTGAACGCCAAATCGCTACTGCTCTATTCTGCAAGGTCCTCTCATTGTACGTCTCTTTTGCTCTTTGTTTTATTCTCTACTTCTTTTTTTCGCCTTACCTTCATATTCAAATTTAGGGTTTTTTTTTCTTTCTATGTTCTTCTCGTGATCGAGACCTGATTCGTGTTCTTCCTGAAGTTTAAGCTTCTGGGTATGTTCGATTCTCTGTTAATTTTTCCTTCTAGGGTTTACTTTCTCACATTTCGTTAGTTTTTTTTCCTCTGTTCGTCCTCTCTGGACCTGAAGAACACTCTCATATTGACCTCTGTGTGACGATTTTGTTATGATGTGTTTGTTTCTACTTTCTTTTAGGGTTGAAATCTAAGAGTTTTGCTTCTTGCTCTAACCTCATTTTGCTTTACTCTTGAAATCGGATTTGCAGGTTTTGCTTTTCATTTGCTCTTTGTAAGTTGCTGTTGAATCCATTTGGTTACTTGAATATGGAGAAAACAAGTGTTGCACATGAGTTAGAACTCACTGTTACTACTCAATCCAAGAGACAGAAAGTCTGTAAAGCTCTGGGGAAGTATAAATCTGATACGTCTCAGTTATTGAAGAGTTTACACGACCATCTTGATAAAGGTTGTTGATGAGAGGTTTAAGGAAGTAGAGGTCAAGGAAAAAGAGCATCAAGTTCTTACCTTAAAGTTAGGGGAAATCAAAAAGCAGATTGAGTTCAAACCGGATAAACTTAAAGCAGTAGAGATTGAAGCATGTGGTAAAGAAAAGGAACTTGATTTGTTAAGGAACCAGATCAAGTTAGAGGAAGAGAAACTCATTGAGGTCAGGAAATCAGTGAAGAATACTCAAAGTGAACTTGAGTTGAAGAAGAAAGAGTTGAGACAGAGGAGTAATGTGATTATTAAGAACGAGCAACATTCTATTGGAGAAGAGACTGAGCTGTCATCAGTTTCTCTTGGTCACCATGACGTCTCCAGAGTTCTTCGAGCTACACGTAATCCAACAGAATATGTTCTGGATCTAGTTGAGAGAGAAATTAGGAATGCTCATCAAAGAGAAGAATCGGGTTTACAGAACTCAGTGGTGGAGAATTTGATTCTGTTTCTTGAGGAGCTAGAAGATATTGGAGGTTCAGTCAAGCCTCAACTGCGGTTAAAGGCTACACAGGTGGCAACTCTATGGAAAGGGATGATAAGAACCGAAGCGCCAAGATCATGTGTCGAGGCTTTGACTTTTTTGTTGTTTGTTGTGGCATATGGATTAGAGAGTTTGATCAACGAAGAAGAGACTGCTCTACTTGCAACGTCTGTGTTTCATTACAAACAAGGTCCAAGAATCTTTCACTCTCTTGGTCTCAAACTTCAGATCCCAGGTTAGTTTTTTAGCCATCAGATTTACAAAACACAAATGTTTTCGACACATAAAAGACTTATGAAGTAAAGTCTTATTACTCTTAATCTTTTTGCAGAGTTTGTTGTAGACCTCATCACTACTCGTCAATACATTCCTGCGGTCCGACTTACATGTTTGCTCAAGCTTACAGACTACTCACCCTCAAATATCTTAATGAAAGAGATCATCGATTTAAGACGCGCTACCCTGGAAAAGGTAAGAACTGAATCCCATGTGTCTGATCTTGTTCATTGATGTTAATTGGTAACTGATTTAGAGATTATCAATCTTTGTTTTGGTTTTCATTTTTCTTAGGCTGAAAACAATGATGTCGGAAGATTGAGAGCCATACTTGAACTCGTGGCAGATTATAAGCTCGACATTGATATTCCAGGCGATCTTATTACCAAGCTCATGCTTCCGAGAGAAAACTCAACCCCACCTGTGCTTCATTGCTCTGTGACGCACCGACCAAAACTTAACATCTCCTCATCAGATCAAGAAGCTACTTTTTCTCCTAATGTGTTTGCTGCAACACGTTCAAATGTGGATCTTCGAGCTCCTAAACGTGAGTTTAAACCGTTTGTGAACTCATCAGCCAATTGTAGGTACTAATGTCAGATCCTCAAGTAGGAACCAAGTAACATATGTAAAGCTTGTAGTAGATCTTAGGTTCTCTGGCTTAGGCAAGTATGTTGTCTCTTTGGTTTGATCTGCATAGGGAACCGTTGTGCTTGACATATGTTTTCAATCGAGCAAAAATGATTATTTGATTTTTGACAGTTCTTGTTTGGTTAACTTGTTCCAGCTTATGGCTCTTGACTCTTGACTCTTGTTATATAAGCTTATGTTTCTGCACTTTGCTTTGCTTAATGATAGCGTGTTGGAGAAGGCACCTATGTGATTAGGTCTTCTTTCACTCATTCACGGTTCCTCCTCCAAAGTCCAAACCTTTGAATCTTGATTTCTTTGAGGTGGACATTTGAAATC